GCTAAAACTAAAGGCTAGCTAAAGGTGGTAAAAGGTTAGCTAAACGCTAAAACTAAAGGCTAGCTAAAGGTGGTAAAAGGTTAGCTAAATGCTAAAACTAAAGGCTAGCTGAAGGTGGTAAAAGGTTAGCTAAATGCTACAACTAAAGGCTAGCTGATGTAGTGAACTTGAGCTGATGTCAAAACTAAGCCTAAGGTCAAAACCCTTGACCTTAAGAACCTTGTGGGACAGAAACTGTCATTTCATTGATTTGAATCCAGAAATACAGGTTCACCCATCCTGAGACTTTCTTTCTTGAAGATCAAGTGAAAGAACACTCTCTGTTCTATTATCATTCCTGTTTTACAAATGTTGATAACCAAAGTGTTTTAGTTCAAACATTTTAGATGTTACAGTGAACTAATCAATTTTATTAACTGTAAAACAGTAACAATGATTTTTTAATGCTTATGCAAAGTTAGAATTCATGTTAAGGTCTGTTACAGAGTAATTATGCATTTTCTGATTTCTGTCTTTGAATGAGCAGTGTACGTTTTCCAAGGTCAGGAGTCGAAGCAGACAAGTGTTGGAACAACGGTCTTGTTTTAAATCCTCTCAGTCGTAAACAGAGAAGTTGGCACCTGTTTCTCCAAACTCGCCCAAACATTTCTCTCTCCTGTCTGGGAACATTTTCAATCTGTTCCAATAACATTCTTGCTGTTTTCTGACTTCTAGTAACCTCTTACGTCACAAACCACACCCCTGTCTGGTCGACATTGACCAATCAGGGACTCCCAAATGAACCGGGAATAGAGCCCTTTAAAATGTCGGTACTTCCTAGTTCTCTCAGTTCGGTGAAGTAGCAGTTCTGAGATGTTCGCAGTTCTGTGAAGTCGTTGTTCTGTGAGTTGCCGTTGGAGTCGGGCTGGAGAGTTTGCAGCTCCAGTCGTTTGGGAGAACAGAAGTCCAGCCATGATAAGGCTCTTCCGAGATTGGGATTATAACATCTATTCCCTCTGAGTGGAACTCGGACGAACCCCACTCATGTGAGGTCCACTGGCTGAGGTGAACTTGTGTCAGACGGGATACCGTCACTACTTCGGACGAGTCACAGCCATCCTATGGAGACGCTGAAAGGTAGCGTTAACTGGAACTCCTCTTCTTCTGATTCATCATCAGAGAGGTAAATGAGTCTAGACCACTACTGAGCGTACCGAGGAAAAGCTGGGTCGGATGGAGGGTGTCTTCCTGTCAACACTTTTCACTCATACACACCACATTCTCCCTCATCCATCTTTCACTCCCACTAAACTTCATCTTTCCATCTTTAAAAATTCTTCTATCAAGTAGAAATCATTGACAGATATTTTTAGAAATGTCTGTGTAAAGTTTCAACCATCGCCGTATGGTTTTCTAATTGTACAGCTTGCTGATTAATTATGTTGTTATTTTCATATTTTGCCAAATTAATGTAAATGTGTGATGTGTTAAACTTGATTCTGTTAATAAATGACCCACTGTCGTGGTGAGTCAAAGATAATTAACGTCTCACGTCCACATTTCATTAAATTCAATGCACGTTTATATTCAGTCCAGAAAAATGAAGAATCCGTTTTAATTGATGAATATATCTCAGCATCTGTTCATCTACACTGAAGGTGGTAAAAGGTTAGCTAAACGCTAAAACTAAAGGCTAGCAGAAGGCGATAAAAGGTTAGCTAAATGCTAAAACTAAAGGCTAGCAGAAGGCGATAAAAGGTTAGCTAAACGCTAAAACTAAAGGCTAGCAGAAGGCGATAAAAGGTTAGCTAAACGCTAAAACTAAAGGCTAGCTGAAGGTGGTAAAAGGTTAGCTTAACGCTAAAACTAAAGGCTAGCCGAAGGCAGTAAAAGGTTAGCTAAATGCTAAACTAAAAGCTAGCTGAAGGCAGTAAAAGGTTAGCTAAATGCTAAACTAAAAGCTAGCTGAAGGCGGTAAAATTTAGCTAAATGCTAAAAGTAACTAAAGACTAGCTGAAGGCGGTAAAATTTAGCTAAATGCTAAAAGTAACTAAAGACTAGCTGAAGGCGGTAAAAGGTTAGCTAAATGCTAAAAGTAACTAAAAGCTAGTTTAAATATAAAACTGATCCCATTCCCGAGTTTAAGGCTAAAAACAGACCTCGTTTGTTTAACGACGTCACTTCCTGACATCTCATGACATCACTTTCCCTCTCACAGCTAAAGATCCCCCCTGCACGGCCCGTCCATACCCCTGTCTACAGCTACATCCTGTCCAGGTGTGGGGGACACCTGCGTCTCTTACCAATGATGATGGTGACCTTCGGGGAGATCTTGGGGATGCTGCCCTGCCAGGTGAAGCAGTGGGGGTCAGAGGTCAGAGGTGGGCTGAGTTGGTCCAGCAGATCTGAGATCAGGTTGTTGTCCCAGGGATCGGGGACAAGCTGTACCCCATCGGCAGGCCTCGGTCCTCGATCTGGACTCATCGTCATGGGTTCGTCTACGGCGTCGTTCTGCTGCGGGCTCATGGGCACGTCAGCACAGAGCCCTGGTTGTTCTGGACTCATGGGGACGTCCAGGGTTCTGGTGGAGGTCGTGTCTGCGGTCTTGGGGGGACAGGGACTCAGGCGTGCAGCCAGGTCCTGCTCAGCTGTGTCCTCGGAGCTTCGAACCTGGAGCCAGCTGGGCTTGGGGGCACACTCAGGACTCATGGGAACGTCACAGTCCAGCTTCTGGTCCGGTTCTGGGCCGGCTGATTTCTGAAAATCTTCCAGGATCTTAAACGACTCAGTTCTGGGTCTGACTGAGTCCTGCTGGGAGCAGACCTCCAGTCCAGGTCCAGCTGACCTGGAGGACTCGGTGGGATAGAGGGTCTGGTCCCTGAAGGACAGGACAGCAGGGTGGGGCTGGACCAGGGTGGTGGAGGTGAGCCCCTCGCCCACCATGGTCCCCTGTCTGACGGAGGGGGGCAGCTGGGCCACGGCCGACCCAGAATCCCGGACGTCACTGGGACTCTGCTCCATGATGGGGCTGAAGGGACCAGAAGGATCAGAAGAGTCAGTGGTTCTGCCGGGTCAAACACGAGACTCAGAGCCAGAACCCGAACGTTACCTCAGCTTTTTGGTCTGACGTTGGATGAAAACGTTCTCCTCGGCTCCGTCACCGTCTGCACAGAAAGAGAGGTCAGAACCAGACTCGGACCAGGAACCTGGAGCAGGTCTGTCCAGAACTGCAGCTCAGGTCCGGTCCCGGTACCTTGGTCCTGGTAGAAGTTGCTGTTGAACGGGGTTTTGTGGGTGAAGGGGGTGGAGACGAACTGGGCCAGCAGGGCGAAGTCCGTGGTGCTGTTGGGACAGGTGACCAGAGAGTTGTAGCGAGGTCCCCACATGGTGCTTTCATCCGGTATCAGGTCCGGGCCCGTCTCCTGATCCAACACCACAGACAGAACCAGGATGAAAGTCTTTACAAAGAAAACAGCAGAGACATCACCTGGACTCGTTGGACTCACGTTGGGTCTGTCCACCTTCAGGACGCCCACTTCAGCCAGAGCTTGGACGGGTTTTGGTCTCTGGACCGGATCAGCAGAACTGAAAAGAACAGAAGTTTTCACGGTCCACTCCAACAGAACACGTGTTTGTACTGCACAGGAACAGTTTCACACCAAAACTTTTACAACTTTGTTAAAAACAACACAGATCTATAAATCTGAGGCCGTGGTCCTGAGTCTGAGGGTGGATTGTTCTTCAGCTCGAGGTTCTGCCTCCACTGGAGGAGGTCCAGTATCTTGTTCTTCAGCTCGAGGTTCTGCCTCCACTGGAGGAGGTCCAGTATCTCTGGGTTTGTTCACAGTGAGGGAAGAAGAGCGTGAGATCAACAGATGGATTGGTGCAGCATCTGCAGTATTGTGGACTCTGTGCCGGTCCATTGTGGTGAAGAGGAGCTGAGCTGTAAGACAACGCTCTCTGTTTACTGGTCGGTCTACGTTCCTCCCCTCACCTCTGGTCATGAACTCTGGTAGAGACTGAAAGAACGAGAACGTGGATCCAGGAGGTCGAGTTTCCTCTGCAGAGCTGGACTCTCCTTCAGAGACAGGGTGAGAAGTTCAGTTATCAGGAGAGACTCAGAGGAGAACTGCTGCTCCTCCACATCCAGAGGAGCAGCTGAGGTGGTTCATCTGGTGAGGATGCTCCCTGGGCACCTCCCTATGGAGGTGCTTCAGGCATGTCAGACTGGGAGGAGACCCCGGGAAGACCCAGGACACGCTGGAGAGACCACGTCTCGTAGTTAACAGGATTTCTGCTTCTTGGAGTTGGTGGTTACCGACAAGTTCTGAAGACGTCTTCAGCTGTTCTGGCCACGGTGAAGCTGCGGGGCATGGAAGGAATGTGCCGGAGGTCCACACGCTGGCAGGGAGGAGCGGAGCCCATGAGACGGTGGCAAAGCGCCAAATGTTTAAAACTAGAGGAACAGTTCGATGGTCGGTTCGGTTGGTCATCAGAACCGAACCCCCCGACTCCAACGGTAATAATTCTGGATCAGATAAATGCTGGTTCTCCTGACATCAAGCCTGGAGCAGAAAAACTGTTTCCAGGTCCACTCAGACTCAGAACCATAAAAGCTTCTCGGTTCTTCAGAACGAGCAGCAGGTTCTGGTTCTTCAGCAGAACCAAACAATAAAAAACAAAAAGAAGGCACAGCCTGCTCAGTGATGAGCTGACCGGGTCAACCCACAAACCTGCAGTTCTCCTGGTCCTCGTCCTGGTAGATGGTGAAGGGGGCGGTGGTGGGGGGCCTGGGGGCCGAGCAGACTTCTCCTGGAGGGGCAGGTGAAGGACAAAAACCGTTTGTACCACAGACCTGCAGCTTCAAACCAGCAGAGGTCCAGACTTACCACCGGCCCGGTTCTTCTCTGCATCGTGGAGCGCCGACGTGCCGCTGAACGGTTCCTCCAGGAACGTGGGGGCCTGGAACATGTCCATGATCACACCTGAAACACAGGGAGACCTGACCCATGATGCATTGCTGCAGAGCTGTCAAACCAGCAGCTTGGACTCCTGGCAGGCGGGCAGAGACGAACGCTCACCCAGGGCCTCCCGCGTGTTGACGGTGGGCGACGGCAGCCCCCGCGAGGGCGTGGCCTGAACGAAGCCCAGGGACGTGTTGGGGGTGACGTGGGACACATTGGCCGTCCCTCCCTGGGACACTGAAAGGACAGAGACGTTGTGAGGGCGAGGCCAGAGACAATGCTGTGAAGAGGGTCTGAACTCACCGTCTAGTTTGTCCTCGGGCTCAGGGACCAGACTTCTGTCTCTGAGGGACAATGACATCATCAGTTTCTGAAGCACGTCCTCGGAACATGAAGCAGCAGCTAAAATGATCTTTACTGAAGCCGAGGGGCTCAGCTTCAGCTGTTCCACCAAACTGAGCCTTTAGCTACTGTTCCACCAAACCGAGCCTTTAGCTACTGATCCACCAAACTGAGCCTTTAGCTACTGTTCTACCAAACTGAGTCTTTAGCTACTGTTCCACCAAACTGAGCCTTTAGCTACTGTTCCACCAAACTGAGCCTTTAGCTACTGTTCCACCAAACTGAGCTTTTAGCTACTGTTCCACCAAACTGAGCCTTTAGCTACTGATCCACCAAACTGAGCCTTTAGCTACTGATCCACCAAACTGAGCCTTTAGCTACTGTTCAACAAAACTGAGCCTTTAGCTACTGTTCAACAAAACTGAGCCTTTAGCTACTGTTCCACCAAACTGAGCCTTTAGCTACTGATCCACCAAACTGAGCCTTTAGCTACTGTTCCACCAAACTGAGCATTTAGCTACTGATCCACCAAACTGAGCCTTTAGCTACTGTTCCACCAAACTGAGCCTTTAGCTACTGTTCCACCAAACTGAGCCTTTAGCTACTGTTCCACCAAACTGAGCCTTTAGCTACTGGTCCACAAAGACAGTTTCTGGTGTTTGGACAGAAACCACCGGCTCAGATCCCTAAAGTCCCAAACTTGTGTTGAGCTCCAGGCAGGAGGTTCTGGTGGATCTGGATCAGAGAAGGAACCGTTAGCAGGAACTCACAGATGTGTGGCGCTGGGCCCGGCGGCTCCGTGGCTCTCACTGCTCTCATGGAGAACATCAGGGCGTCTGACGAGGAACACGTTCATCTGATCCGAGCTCACGGGCGGCTCGACGACCGGTTCTGGTTCCCTGCCGGGCAGGACCGAAGAGGGGGCTCTGTGGACGAAGGTGGGCTCGGCGTGTAGCCTCAGGCCCAGGGAGCGCCGGCTGCTCAGACGGTTGGCGGGTCGAGGATGGGCGAAGATCTGGGCGGTGGTGGAGTTTGTTTCGGCTGCGAACGGCTGCAGATAAAAACAGTTCAGGTGTCGTGTCGTTTGCAGCCACACCTGCCGAGGACTGGCCGATTAAACCCACCTGGGTTTCCAGTTCCTGGTCGGCCTCCTTCACCAAACACTTCATCCTGTGGACTCGGTCTTCCTGCTGCCTCAGCTGCAGCTCCACTGAAAGAAGAAACGCTCCGCTCACACGCAGACCCACGACACAAACTGCGAGCGTGGCTTCAGGGACTCACTGGTTTCTCTCTGCTCCTTCTTCTGCTTCTCCCGCAGCTGTCGGAAGTACCGGTCTGCTCGGACCTCCTCGAAGCACGTCTCTGCTCCGTCACAGAGAAGAGCATCCTTCGTATACTCAGAGACCGTGTGGAGGCTGCAGCTCTGACCGTGGGGGAGGCTTCCTGACGTCTCCGAGCGGGACACTCTGGACACAAAACACACGGCGTCTCATCGTCTGAGACGTCCACGCTGGCACGAGAACCAGCGGCCATCATGCTGGGTGTAACCTGGTGAGATCCATCCACCTGGACCTCAGAGCCCAAACGTGTGACTCACATGTTGACCATTCTGTCTGCAGGAGCATCGAGCGGACACTCGGACGCCTGGTTCTGATCCGCGGAGCGGGACGGCATCTGATTGGTCAGCTGGGAGTTCTGCAGCAGAGTTCTTCCTGCTGCTCCACAAACACAGAGACGTGACTGCAGCCGGACCTTCACAAAAACTGTCCTTTGAATAAAACCAGGACATGACCTCACCTGACACCGGCAGCTGGGTTCTGGTTCTGCTCTGAAACTGCCTGCGGGTCAGAGGTCACCACGGTCACTTTTTACAAGAAACACACTCAGCCTTCGGTTAGTTCACACGTTCACCCCCATCCATCCATCCATCCACTCACCCATCCATCCATCCACTCACCCATCCATCCATCCAACCACCCACCCATCCACTCACCCATCCATCCATCCATCCAACCACCCACCCACCCATCCACTCACCCATCCATCCACTCACCCATCCATCCACTCACCCATACACCCATCCATCCACTCATCCATCCATCCACTCACCCATCCATCCATCCATCCATCCATCCACTCACTCATCCATCCACTCACCCATCCATCCACCCATCCATCCACCCCTGCAGTAAAGAATCAGAGCTGGTTCTGCAGAATCTCACATTTCCACAAGCTTCCATGGGAAATGTGTGAATTTACAGGCGTGGACCAGGAGCTGGTTGTAATTTAAACCAGTGGCTCTCAAACTGGGGCCCTCGGACCCCCGGGGGTCCGAAAAAATAAATAAACTTTTTTTTTAACAAGCACGTAGATGTTTAACAACCTGTTAAAAATCACCAAAATGCAGGAAATCACATCTATTTTATGTAAATTTTCTGGCGATAAGCCCCAGACCCCCCCAGCATGGATCCAGCCCCCCCCCAGCATGGGTCCACACCCCCCCCCCCCCCCCCGGATCCAGACCCCCCCAGCATGGATGTGTTTACAAATGAAGCTTGTTGTGACTCCTGGTTCTGTTCACGTCAACACTTTTCTGTGACGACTCCAAGAAGTTTTAAACGTTTTAGTATTTTTTTTATATTTTTCATTTTCTCAAAACTCATGTTTGAAGTTAAAATTATGTTCATTAAGAGTATGTTGAATGAAATACTCCATGTTTAAAATATAAAAGTTGTAACTCTGTTAAAGAACAGGTCTGAAGTATTTATGTTTCACAGACTGAAGTTTCTTGAACACGAGGAGCTCCATGAAGAAAACGTGTGAAGAAGTTTCCACAAACTCTGAAAATATCTGTGCGTCTTTGTAAACCTCCCTCCCTCCTGACCCCCCCACCTCCTTTCCTGACCTCCCCCTCCCTCCTGACCTCCCCCCCTCCCTCCTGACCTCCTCCCGTCAGATCATTGAAATGTTTTCAATAAAGACACACGTTACTCCGTCCGCTCTCTCGTCGTCTAAATACAGTTGGAGTGGGAACTCACCAGAAGGTTCTGCAGCTTCAGCGTTCGGACCGAAACGTTCACACAGGAGCAAACTGACTTTGGATGAACGGGCCGGGCCCTGCAGGTGTTCCTACCTGTACTCGTGGAGGACGGTGTGGGCCGGCTGGGCCTGGTTCTCCACAGCTCTCTGGTACACGGCGTCCGCCTGCTCCTTCATTCCTCTCTGTTCCAACTGCTGAGCCCAGGCCACGTAGAGCGCCGCGGTTCTGGTGCCGACGCCTTTACTGAAGACCAGACTGAACAGAGCCACGGGGTCCGGGTGATAACTGGCCTGCAGGACACGGATCACAGCAAGAACTGAAACCGTGAAGCGCCTGTCGTCCCCCCCCCCCCCCCCCCCCCAAGGAGGAACGACGCTCAGACGTACACATCGGATGCAGTGGTTGACGTATCTGATGTCGTTTGCATATTGATCCACACCCAGAAACCTCTGGACCACAGCGTTGAACACCTGCAGCATCTCGCCGCCACCGGCAGGAACCTTCTGCTCCAGGAGCTCCACGAACCTGCGAGGACGCACGGCCGTCAGTTTCAGGAAAACCTGTCCTGCAGCCAGAGCAGCTTCTGGAGGAGCAACGTTGTGCTGCCGTCCTCAGACCGTGGTTCTGATCCGGTTTTCTAACCCGGACCGTCTCCAGCTGGTTCCTGGGTTTCAACACAATTTCCTCCCAGACAGGAAGTGAGACGGCTTCAGCTGCGGGACAGAAGTTCAGCTGCTTTTAAACTTTTAGACACAAAATATGGGGAGTGGTGGTGCAGAGGCTAGAGCCTGTGATCGGAAGGTCGCCGGTTCAACTCCCTGGACTGACAACATCATAATGTGGGTGGTTAAGGTGAAACACCCACATCTGTCTCCACCCTCATTTGCCCCACCCTGGGTCCTTGAGCAAGGCCCTTAACCCCCACCATCTGCTCCCCGGGGCGCAGCTCCCCGCTCCACAGAGCTGTGGTAGCTCCGTGGTTGGACAGGAAGGACCTCCGGTATGGCCAGTTAAACCAGTTTGTACTGGTTCTAAGATATTGTTCAAGGATATATTTTCAATAAAACAACATTAAAACTGAAGGTGCGTTGTGACCTTTGACACCCGACAGTGTCGCTCATAAACTAAATCTGAATCGACAGGTCAGAAAGCACCAAGTCGCCTCCTCAGACAATCAATTAACATTAATTGTAATTGAACTAAACTTTCAGTTTTTATTACAAACCATAAAAACAGCAGCCGAGACGTTTGTGTCTTTTATTAAGGTTATTGTAACGTTTGGACATAATCCAGCAGTTAATGTTCCAGTACGAGTCAAACAGAACTGCTGCAACACATCACTGATTTTACTGACTCACAGTTTGAAATCTGATGATTTCAGACTGATTTACAGAAAAATCTGATGATTTCA